TACAGCACCATGAGTTAGTTGACAAGCAAGATTCAGAGGACTGCGACGCAGCAAGCAAGCTTTTAAGAGTGAAAGCGGCGTGGTCACGGCAACTTTGCATGTCGTAAAACAAAAACAAAATAACCACGCACGCATCCATATACCTTGATTCAATAGACCAGACCTACCTGACTGTTGCCGGTCCAGAGTGCGTTTTTGCCGGCGCACGGGGTTTGCCTGCCGACTAACACAATCGTTCTTTTAACGTATACCCTACCTAAGGTTAGACCAACCCAACAACCTTAATTTGTGCCAGTGCAAGGTGACAGGTTTTGCTAATGCATAGACTTAGAGTTACGAAGAACCTTGTTTTAGTGGTCGGGAATTTTAATAATAGCTTGGTTGCAATCGCCTTGTTTGTACACTCCTAGGAACGCGCCTATCCTTGATCGCCAACCCGTGCAAATTTTCATATCCAACGCACAGTGGCACTTGAAGGCCAAGAATCTTGCCGCAATCCACGGGAAAGAATCTGGGTAAGGTTAGTGCAGGCAGGTACTGGCTGGATCTGTCATAGAGATCTTAATGCATCACATAGATTACTAGGTACTGGACCTCTCGCCTGTGAGTGGAACAAAATTCAATTTCCGTAACCACGTTCAGGGGCACATGTTGTACTCGTACGAGTAGGGTTCACTACTAACTCAGCATACGAGGGTCATGTTTAAGTACGCGAATGGTGATATGAGGAAATCCTGTACAGTATCATTATTGGAAATTGTACAGAAACTGCAGTTTTGTCCCTTGCGCCAAGCGCCGTGGTATCTGGAAACGGCGGGAAAAAAAAATACATCGTTTAAGCTTAATTCATCAGGGATTGGCGCCAATATCATTACCCACAGGACTCCGCGACTCCGTTCTCCTTAGCCCAAGCATGTCAAGTACTCCAGTGCAAGGGCATGCTACCGTGATTGCCCTGCCCGAAGCCTCCATGTAACTCCGTTTATTTTCTTTGGACCCATAGAACGCCAAAACAATGCTGCCAAGTGAATAGGCTCGATAGTGTCTAGAGTGCACTCGTATTAAGCCCGTTAGCCAACCATTCCCTTGCATCTTCACAGAGCTTTGCGGTTCAGTGACCGTATCAGTTGTTGATCCGCTGACAGCTCGTGTGCCGCCGCAGCAAGAGCTTGTGGTGAATTGCCAGCGCTGTTAGGCTCGGAGCTACTGGGTGTAGGAAACAACAGTAGGCTCGATATGCTCGCCTTGCGAGCCGAAGCATCGTTGGTGTTGAGCAAGCCGGATGTATGTGCGGGAGAGATGGACTTTGTTCTGCGATTGGGCTCGAGTTCCCGGGGCGACCAAGTGCCTTGGGGGTTGTAGGCACTCGGTGGCATTCGTGGGTCAATCATGACCGCCTGGGCTGCCTGCACCTGAAGCTGCTGGGATCGAGGAGATTGACTCGAGTGTCGGTCAACCACCTGATGTGTGGCGGGCGGCGGTAATCGCTCATAATGAGGAGAGCGGTTTGCCGAAACAGCTGGCGGCAATGTTGGCGCCCTACGTGATTGGGGGTGAGGATGAGGCTGATGGGTTAATTCAGGTTCGGGCCGGCCATACTGGTACGGCGACCCATTTCCGGGAGGGTGAGGCCAGCCCATCCAAGCAGGAGAGGCCCACTGAGTGCCATATGCGCCTTGATCCTGTGGCCCAGTCGCGTGGAATGACGGCATAGGTGCCCGTGTGAGAGCTGGAGAATTGGCATCCTGCAAACTCGACTCGGGATACAATCCTTTAGGCGGAACAATGTGTCGCAGTGCTGGATCCTGGGTGGGCTGAAGCAGCTCTGCGCTCCCAGGTGTTGGCCGAGCGTAATACGAAATAAGGTGTAGATGGTTGCCATGTACGGTGACTATGCTGAAGGACTGCTTCATTAGACCATCCGTCTTGTACCGGTAGCCTTCCGGCTCGTTGTCCTGGTCCTCGTCACTAAGACGACCGCTATCGGGCGAGCGTCCATTGGTCGTCCGGCGGGCCGTCCCAAAGCCGCCTCCCCGCTTCCCTTCCATTTCACGGTAGGTGAGAAAACTGCCAGACACGCGACTCGCGCTCCAGGATTTACCATCCGTCCAGCGTCTCATACCGGCTTCGCGTTCGTCCCATACGAAGACAGAGCCAGGTCTGATGGATTGCCGCTCTTTTTCGGATAACCGCCTCTGAACGCGGGGGAGCACGCCTTGTCTGCATGCCTCAAATAGCTTGATAGCATCGGCAGGCGTTCGCACGAAGCCGTTGTATGTCTCCATCGAAGTGGATTGCATGGTGGCGAAGTTGTCGAGGAGACGTGAGAGTAGATGTTGCGCGCTTTCGCGCAGTTTGGGAAAGTATCACTCCTGCAATCCTGTCCTCCTATCCGTCAACTCCAACCAGGCTTCAACCGTACGTCATACAGACGGGGCGTATCAATTCTACTGCTGTACAACCGATATTGTAGACGAGTTAGGTCGATATAGATGGGTCGAGCGGGCTGAGGATATTTGTTAGACGATATGCCTGACACGGACGATAAAATGCATCCGACAATGATATGTTGAAAGAGCCGAGTGCTGATAATTGGAAAGCAGAAGGGGTCATGGTGTCAACATACCTAGGGTCCTGTGCTGCTTGATAGGCGGGTAACGGGTGCTCGAGATGAGGCCTGGGCAACTGCTCTTTTAAGTATGAAATCCCAGCCCACAGCCAACTGTATTCTCCCAGGTATTTTTGGTTTTCTTTACTGTCCGTCTCACTCTCGTTGGGAGGTATGTGCGATGCGATGCGTCATGCAGATGCCGCGACGGAGCTAGATGTAGACCGAGGTCAAGAAGAATGCGGACGTTGCTAGGATGGGGGCACGAGACGACGAAGACGAAAGCTTAAAGCTTAAAGCTTAAATCCAGAGATGGAATCCCCTGGAACTGAGCGCCGTAATTCTCAATGGTGTGGTAGAGGAGCTTCGGGGTGGGACGTATCTGAGGTGAGAGACCCGAGGAAGCTTCAGCAGGTCAAGGAAGGATATATATGGGCTGTGGACTTAGAGTTTGTGTCGCAGATGGGAGTGGAGGAAGTGGATGGGGCGTGCAAGGGTCATGAGCATGGGCTGTTGGGACGAGGCCTAGGGTCGTACTAGGGAACAGCCAGATACACAGTCATGAATATTAGAGAGAGATCGGTTGGTAGGAGGGAGGGAGGGAAGGGGGGGGGGGGGCTGGATGGTTGGTGGGCACGCCCACGGTGAAGAGTGAAGCAGGTAGCGGGTACGTAGCGGGTACTCTGTACAGGGCGTGGTGATCACAGTACCAGTTCGTTAGGCACATTGCAGCACCGTGCTGCCAGATTCCTGGGCCGGATCTGGCATGGAGGCAGGTACTGGGTACCTCGTCTGGGCAGGTACCTTGGCCCGAGCAGGCTCCGAGCTAGATTCCCACCTGGTAGCAGCACTCCCGAGTCAGAGCAACCTTTGGCTTGGCTTGGCTTGGCTTGGCTCTGGCTGGCTTGGCTGGCTTGGCTCTGGCTCTGATGTTCTTTGGAAAAGCGCCAAGCCCGTGACCCCTGTCCTCCGTATACCTGCAGGAGTATACCGCGGTACCTCGATACCTGGATACCTAGACTATGTACCTCCCAAGCCTGCCCACATGCATCCAAGGTGCCAACAACGGACTCGAGTACTAAGGTTAAGGTTGGTTAGCGTACCTCAGCGGTCGTAGCCCGTAGCCCGTAGCCCTGGAGGTACGAGGTACCAAGTGCCAAGGTAGACAGACACAGGCCTGCCTGCCCGCAGCCCCGAACGCATGTGTCCAGTGTCCACCTGCTGGGCAAGATCCGTGATAGCCAGCTGCTTTACCCTCTGTGCTAGCACCCTCTCTAGCACGTGCGGCCAGGCTGTCCATCCGTCGCTGGTGACAACCTTGGAACGTTGAACTTACAGTACCTAGGTACAAGGGGAGGCCTAGAACGAACCGCTGCGGCCTCGTTGAAACTCGACATGATGCCGTGGACATGGCCGTTGCCATCAACATGCACCCGAGCCATCTCATCGTTCTAGCTACTCAGGTATGCCGTTGCTAGTACGAAAACAGAGGCCGAGACGTGCGAGCACAGCAGCCAAAACAACAATGCGGCTGCCTGTCAACTGTTTGACCGTCGACCGTCACACCTTGTTCACCTCCGACCGGTCGATCTCGATCCCGATCAACGGAGTCCCGGCTGTCGTTTTGAGGCTTTCATTGGTGGGGACTCTGGCTCTGGCTCTGCCTCCCTCGAGCTTGATTTCGGTCTTGTCTCGTCTTGTCTCGTCTCGTCTCGTTATCTTATCTAAGATCGTGTTTTGGCCGCTGGAGCTCCCGCTCTCCTGCGCGCTGACGGTTTGGTTTCCAACAGCTCTAGAGGCGATCCTGGCCGTCTGCCTGCGCAGGATTTGCCGGTGGACGGGATTGGCCCCCCCGGCAGGCAAAAGATCAACGAGTTGTCACTTAGTGGGAAGTAGTACAGTACTATACTTGCGTCGGAGAACATCACCGTTGGTGTGTGAATCCATCCATCGCTGTCCGCATGAGCTCTCACACTTATAACAACTACACGCATGGACTGAACCTGTCGCTCGTTGTGTTCAAAAGGGTGCATGACATAGCATGATTGATCGTGCACACCTAATTAATACCTACCAGAGCATTGGCAGCTATGCGAGAAGTACCTCCGAGCCAAGATACCTGCAGCCACGATCCTAGCACGGGCCTAGATGGAACCCCAAGATAGTATTCTGAATCGGAATGGGAATTCCAACATGGGGCACGCTGCTTTAAGCCTGAGACTGAGCCCTTGTCACCCGCATTCCCTTAACCCAATATAACCATAAATGCACCAAGATAAAGACTATTCTAATGTATTATAAACCGGATTTTATAATTGCAGACAAGTCTATATAGATAGAACGTAGGGTCATAAAAACATTAACCTAAAAAAGAAACCTGGAGTAGCAAGATTAGACACGGTCGGGTTTGAACCGACAGCTCGGGATGCTAGTTAATGAGTACCCGAATGTTGCCATTACACCACATGCCCTTGATTTGAAAATGAATGACAGTATGTATAGCTAACGCACAAGAGACTCCTATACAACTACCTATATGCACTATAGGACCATATAACTCGAGCGACTTCCTAGGAAGTTGCTTGGTGTTAGAATAAAGGAGAATTACCCAGCTGATGGTCGGCGTATTGCAACCTTCATCATGAACCAACCAGAATCGCTTATTTTTTTTTGAAATCAGTCACCTAATTGACAATAGGGTGAGCCAAGCCTGAGCAAAAGCAGCGAATGCGCTAAGCCCAATTTGCCGGTCTCTCTTAATAAGGATCCAGACACGCCAGAGTCTGCACGTGTGGTGTCTTAAGCTTAATTGAGCTACCCACGCCACTACCTAGCAGCCACACAGAGTGCCATGAGTGCTTCCAACAGCTGCCAAGCTGCCAAGGTACACAGGCCAAGTTGCCAATCAAGTGCTGCTTCTGTACCAAGGCATTCCCATCCTCGCCATCATGTTCCTGAGTTTGACGTATATGTATGTCAACTAGGTTGCGGCACCAGCAAGCTCATCTTCTGAGTTACAAGTACTTAGTGCATGCAGTGTGGACACGGAGAGCAACTTGGCAAAGGTGGGAGTTCGAATGGAGAGACTGCCAAGAAGGAACGGGGTGTACATATCTGGAATGTCTTAACGTCTGACTAGGTCTCGGGTGGCACATCAAACAGCAGCAGATATAGAAATGCTGTGGAGGGGTAGAATCTCACAAGCAAGTCAGCGGACGGCATTATGTAAGACTGGATGCTTGAATGCTGTATTCTACTTTCACTAGGTACGAGTATATATAGTCACATTTACACTGTGCATTCGTACCGTGTTTCATGTCTCCTCAGTTGCAACAGACTTATCAAGAACTATTGACATGATCACTGCCGAACAGCAGTGTGACATGATTATCTATGTGAAACTTCAACGCACATAGATGAATTGGCGATACTGGCACTCGGATCATTCTAGCAAAAGTCGAGACCGTCATGGCGTAGACAATGGTTTGTGCCACCGTACTCGTCATCCCTGGATTTCTCGTGCTTCGTAGCACCATCGTTTTGGGAAAAGCCATGACCAGATTCGTTGACGGCGGTGCTCAATTCGTACAAATTAGCCCTGGGCACCATCATTGCCTGACGTGACATAGCATCACAACCTCGACTGGTCTGGCGTGTCTTCGGGTATTACTATCTCGAACGCCCTGGCACAACTGCACTCACTACGGTCCTCCCTTTGAGTTCGCCAATACAGTCTTGAGAGACGGTCCACACAATTATTACTTGACAGCCCGTGGACCAAGTATTTGTGCTTGGATATTCTATCATGTCTATTGCGGCGTCAGAATCAGTCCCCTCCAGTTTCTTCTCCTTGCATTCCACAAAGCAGCTTCTGAGCGGCATCTCGTTGCCGGCCGCCATGCAGACATGGACAAGGTAGGTAATCACATGACATGGGGATGGCCCAAAGCCGGTAGCATTTGGAATATCCCTACCCATAGTCTTGGATGGTCTAGAATCACCATAATGGACTTCCAAAGTCCTGGGACAATAGCATGAAATTGCCGTCCCAGCCTGCATTGGCGAGCTCGGCGAGACACTTCAATGGCACGTGGAGTGAAATGGTGATGCTGTGGCGATCGTGAGAACGGTCTAGGCGTATCGGTCGAAAAGTCTACGGACCGACAACAGGTATCTGGATCAACTTCATATGTTCGGTTCCAGGTCCGCCAACTGCCAAAGTTGCCATCGGCGCACTTGCAAGGCCCATGAGAGCATTCATATTTGAAACCATGTACTACTTTTCAGTGCACTCTTCCAAGTCGCAATGACTTCCTCCCCCGCTCCAGCGAGCAATTGTTGCAACACACTTGGCTGTCGAATCATGGCGACGATGGATAGACTCAAGGGCAAGCTTGTGGATGCACTTCCCGGCGGTGAGGAATATAATACCTGTAACCCGTGGCTGTCCGTGGTCAGAAACTCAAGCAATCAACAGTGGATGTCATCAACGCGAATTAGGTAGGTATCTGCATCTCAATTAGTGTTGTAAAAAGTTATCTACGGGTAGTGAAATCTAAGTACCGAGTATGTTTGCCGCCATGTTGAACTGGCCTGCCCACGGCGCTGTCCTTGTCAACACCTCGTCGTACACACAGTGCATCGTTGCAACTTGCGAGCAAGCCTTGCACGTACGCACAGCACTGGGAGAGACAAGATGAATTTGAGTTTAATAGTGGGCCCCCTTTGTTGAGGCTGGCAGTGAGCGGATTCCTTGATGACGAACAGGGTGCACATGTGTCATCAAACAATGCCGGCCCGTTCTGATATTCCCACAGCCTGGGAAGGATTCAAGCTTCTTTTTTAACCGAACCGGGGATGCAGATCTTCTATGTTTCTGGTCACGTTCCTCACGCCAGTCACGGAGGTGACGAAATGAAAGATTGAGTAGGTAAATGCCGTCCAATAGAGTCTTTCGAGCCCTTGAACACATCAAAATGGCACCACGATATACTAGGTATGTATATGCATCATGTCGAATATGCAAGCCAGTTGATTATCTAGTCACGAGAGGTACGAGTGAGTACATTCGCGATATTTGATATTCTTCGGGCGCATTTCTCTTTTGTAAGCGATGAGGGATGCTTGGCAGCTTGGCAGCCACGAGGGCTCGGTCATCTTGATTGCTTTTCCCCTCAAAAAGTTTTAAGCATGAATTTAAGCAGTGCGCCAACGCCCGGCTAGGATAATTTTGGACCGTCGCTTTCCCTCTCCGAGTTAAGCCTCGGGCGGCCTTCTCCATGAACGACCACAGACTCCACAAATCCGTCATTTTCTCAACGACCTTGCTTCCGGTAGCCGCTTTCCTATTTGTGAGTCGACGAAAGCAACAGCCCCAAGATGACCCAAGATTCTTGGTGCTGACGCCTGCTCTTGGCCAGTAAACGACGAGAAGGGATCCTTTTCCCACCCCGGAATATCGTTACGCAACAATTTGCGGTGGTCAAGCAATTGCCAAGCATGACCTAATATTCTTGCTGCGGGCACAACGAGTTGCTGGTGTCTCTTGGGAACTCGGGAACCAATGATTACCTGTCGGACCATATGAGTACCATTCTTCAAGCGCCCCACACATCTGGGTCTGCCGATGCTTGTTGCAATGGATGATGCTACGCGAGGGAGAAGCTACAAGGCTAGGTACGTAGCGTAGCACATGGCGACCCAGACAAAAGGCGAGTTGCAGGGCATCATCTGCTCGGCAGAAGAATCGGTAGCGCTATTCTGTCGGTCGGTCGGTCAGTCACTTTCCCATCATGGGATGCTTATTTATTGTTAGTGGCAGACTGCAGACTGCAGTAGGCGAGTAGGCGAGTAGGTAATGCCGCATGTTTCAGCTTCGTTGGCTGGAGCGCTACGGCGCAGCTGAGCCGCCAAGGCGTTTGCGGCCGCAAAGATGATAAGTGAGGCTAGCTTTATCATGATAGACCGAAAGGGTTGTTGGTCTTTTGTTACTCGTACCTACGGCGATACGTATCAGTAGGAGCTGAGCTGTTGGATGTGCCTACTATGTAGGAGACGGATGCAGATGGGACATTGCTACTCAGTACCTACCTAGTATGCTCACTGCGGCTTTTGCCGGATGGCTTTTTCTTGCCCGCCGGTTACCCTTAGCCGGAAGAAGCCCTTCGAGCGATCTCCACCGCCGGGGCTAGTGGTAGTACGTTCGTAAGGGAAATTCCGTGCGGTTGTCAGCCTACGAGCATACTCCATCAAAGGCGATGCTCTGAAAAGGCCAAGCCCGGTCGGTCGGTGTACGGAGTACGAGTAGGTGAGTGTTTGGTGTTTGGCTCGATTGTGCTCGACTGGAGACATTGCAATTTGCAGCATTATACCTACATATGTACATATGTAGGTACCACCGTCCGTCGTTTAGGTGCAGGGGTCCTATTTCCGCGCGGTGTGAAGGCATATACATGAGATTGGAAAGCGCTAAACTTGGCAACACAAAGGATTTGATCGCACGATTTGTCGTGTGTTCGAGTTCCTGTTGGTTACACCACCCAGGCCGCCAGGGCCACAGTCCCCACGGTATGCACAGCATGACAATGTTGACTTCGCTGCAGGAAGCCCCATCGCCGATTTGTCAGGAATATACATAGTACTCGTAGTACAAACAAAAACTGATCTAGCTTGCTGGATAGCCCCAGCAGTTACGCAGTACCTCGTTACGCTACTTACTAGGTACCGTCTGCATCGGTGATATTTTACCGGTGCGCCATTGGGGGATCTAGCCTGTCTCCTAGTCATCTCCAGCTGTTATCTACGAGTACCTAGTATGCGGCTTCACTCGTTCTACTTTCCCGATCGCATCGATCGGTGAATGCCCATACAGCCAAACATGTGGCTTTGTCACGGGTTATCTCGAATATTTACCAGAGCCCTAGTAGCTGCAAATCCTACAACATCTAATACCTACCTAGGTACTATACGGATTCTGCGTCCCAGCGCCATGAACTTGCATGATTAGTAGCACATAGCATGCCCAGAGTGCGCTGACCATAGTAGTACCTAGTACCTAGGTATTGATGAGAAGAGTCTGTTGGCTTTGAACCCTTGGCTGCTTCTCGGTTGCTTCGCTTGCATTTGCCCATCCGTAATCAATAACTATTCCGTCCTCATCATGCCATTCGGTGATCAACAACTGCAACACCTGGAATGGGCCCAGCAACAATTCCCCAATCCAGGCTATTGGGTCTCATTCTGCGCCTAGTGTTACAAACAACACCAACAGCGTAAAGGCTGACCAACAGCATGTTTTTGAGACCCCACCAAAAAGTTATACTAAGCATGTTGTTGTTGTTGGTACAGGTGTACGAGTGCAACTTTGCGCGACGCATCGACCAACCTCTCAAACCAACGATGGCTCCGGGGCCGCCACATGCAAACGCATGTTGTATTTTGGCATTATTTGTTTCGATCTTGATTTCTATTA